GGGGGGGGGGGGGGGGGGGGGGGGGGGGGGGGGGGGGGGGGGGGGGGGGGGGGGGGGGATCCATCTCCCCCCGACCGGCGACGCCCGGAAATAGCCGTGACCAGGCGCTTCCTTCCCGGCGCGGAAGAGAAGTCTCGCAGAGCACGAGGAAAGGAATCTCGCAGAGCACGAGAAAAGAAATCTCACAGAGCATGATGGATCCGTCGTCTTTGGAGCATCCGATGAGGATGGGGATGCGGGGGAATCTCCCGAGGCGAAGAGCTTCTTCGGGGTGCCGGGGGATCAGACCGTTCGGCCCGTCGATCACGGGGCCGTACAGCGCTCCGTGCTGCCTCAGCGTCGAGTCCTAAGAACCCACCGAATCGATTAATTAATCGATCGATCGATCGATCAACGATGCCGGAAGAGACGAAGCTCACGCACCGATCGCTGCGACTGGAAGGCGGCGAGGACCTCCTCGGCGCTGCGGGACCGGATGCACTGCAGGAGCATGGGGTCCGGCCCGGTGGAGCACCGGAGGCGACGGCCCAGGTCGCGGGCGTAGTCGCGGGGTCGGCTGCTCAGGGCCCAGGGGCTCAGGGCCGACCCGCTCATCAGGATCAGCCGGTCGAACAGATCTGCGGGAAGAGGAGGGGATCGCGGGAGTCGGCGGACGAAGGGCGGACGCGGACGCGGAACGGACGAGAGACCTTGGGATTGGGGTGCCAGGAGATGAAACATGGCCGAGGCTGCTCCGGCCGAATGACCCATCAAGGTGATCCGAGTCGTGTCGCCTCCGAAGTGCTCGATGTTCGTTCGGACCCATTGCAACGCGAGGCGTTGGTCCTCCAGACCGGCGTTCCCGGGCGCCAACGGATTCTCGAGGCTCAGAAAACCTGATCGTAAAAAAAAGTGAAACGTGATCCTCCGACAGACGCCACGCGACGCCTCGCGACGCCTCGCGACGCCTCGCGACGCCTCGCCCCTCACCGAACACGTTGAGCCGATAGTTAAGCAGCACGACGACGACGTCGTTCGCGGCCAAGTCCGTTCCGGGCGTCGAGGCGGCCGACCCCGTCTCGAAGAGTTCCCCAGCCAGCAGGACGACGACCGGCAGTCCCGCGAATCCCCGCCGCAGCTGCAGCAGCACGGATTTAGCGCTTTCGCTCCCCGCGTTTCTCGCCGCGCGCGTCGCGCCCGCGCCGCACGCTCACCTGGGGCGTGTAGACGTCGAGGTACAGGCAGTCCTCCTTGGGCTGGACGTTGGCGGGGCCCCGGGTCCCCCCCAGCTGGGGGCAGGGGGCCCCGGATTGACTCGCGATCAGGGGGTTCGACCAGCCGGGATGCGCTTCCGGGCTCTGTGAGACACACAACATCACGCGTCTGCATTTCCTCTTTTATTGGATTTTATTGGATTGGATCATTTAGGAGTTGGATCCCCTGCAATCGCGGCCGAATTTTCCGCGCGACACGGGTGGCTGTATCGCACGAAAAATTCCTACGGCGATGTCCGACGTCGTTCGAGTGCATCCGGTCGTACGTTTCCGCGGAAGCATGAATCGAAGAAAGCGACTGAATAGTCCCACTCGTTTACTATTGGTAATTCGGGAACGGAAGCGGAAGGAACGAAGGCATGGCAATGAAGAGATGAAACGCGTCCCGCGAGCTCGATCAAGCATTGCGTTTGCTGCGTCATGTCCCGCGAACATCATAAATGTTTTTTGTTTTTTTTTTCACCTGGGCGAGTCCAGCAACATGAACTGCCAAGTGACTGGAAAACTTCAAGAGCTTGGAATTTGAGGAGAGCACCCAGAGCACCTCCACCCCCGGCACCTCCAATCGAGCGATGCGTGACGAGTAAACAAAGGGACCTAACGACACGGAGCACGAGAACGACACGGAAGAACCTCGTTCCCCGGAAGTCGGAACTCACGGCAAAGCGCCTGTTCCCCGTCGGCGGCAGAGCGTACGGAATGCCCTGAAACGCGAACACCTCTCTCGTCGCGCCGTCGCTGACCCTCAGCGACCGCCCGATCACTTCACCGTGCTCGATCCTCACGACCGGGTCCTGCAGCTGCCCCCGGACCGGGTCCGGGAAGCTCACCAGGAAGCACGCCGCGACGGCGGCGAACGGCAGCATCACCGCGAGCATCGTGGACGCCACTCGTCCGTCCGACTCACTGGACGGGCTGCGACTCGTCGACGGTCCTAGATCTCCGACGGGATGTGCGCTTGGATGGCTTGCCGTGTTGTGGTCCCATCTCCACGCCTTTTTCTCTCTCGTTCGTGTCCAGAGCCCCAGTCGGCACCTCTCGTTCGATGCAGCCTGACCTCGCTCCGAGGAATCGCACTCCTCGTCGCCTGGCTTGACTCATACGAATATTTTCCCCTCTACATCCCCGAACGTTCCTTTCGTGTTTCCTTCCTCCACCTCTATCGTAGAGATAAACTATATCCGCGAAGGGCTCTAAAAAAAAAAAGGTCGGAAGCGATTGTTCCGGAATACGTCCGGGTGTGGCTTATGTCCTGTCCCTCCCTTTTCAACCTGCACCTGCACCACACCACCCCTCGAGCGGAAAAACATGACGAAGCCCAGTATTTTACGTAATATGCACCCTTTTTTCGTGAAACCGTGGCATTATCCCCCTTGCCTCAATTTGTGCGAATCTTATGTATCAGATTAAAATAGCTATTCATCTTTGACTTAACTATTTCTTAGGTAGATGAATTCCA